GTGGGGGGGGGGGGGTTATGGGTTAACTTGGGGTGGCAAAAACAAAACCAAAAGCAGAAAAATAATGTCATGAGTTTTATTATGCTGCCATCGCTGAAAACCATGACTACATACACTGTGGGCCTAAAATGTTACAAACAAGCATACCGCTTATGACAACATAAGCAACAACATTGATGATGTTTACAATTTATATCAGTGACTTTTGAGATTTGTTTATATATTTGTGTATACTTAAACTCCCTAGTTTAAGGTTGGTGTGCTTGTCAATTTGAGCTTTAAAACTGCATTATCTTAATATGGGTGACAGGTGGCGCTCTTTTGGTTTACACACCCTGGCTATCATAATTATTTTGTTTTAAATCATTTACATTGGTTTGTAAATGATTTAAAAGTGGCTTTTTTCCAGTCAGCTGAGTGGCAATGCACAGCAACATGTGGGGAAGGGGCATTGCTATGTTACTCTGTCATACACACAGGAGGAAAAGGTCAATTAAGGCGTTAGCATGGAAAATTTTATGTTTTACACATAAATACGTCATTTTAGAAAAACAAGAAATCCCACCATTTCTGGTCTTTAATTGCATTAACCAACAGCTTTGCTTTTCATTCATTTTTATTAGTTTATTATTTGATATATAAATGACTGATAATCTCATTTTGTAACCCTCATGCAACTGTTAAGGAGCCTACGTCTATTTTTTTTCTTCATTTTTGGGTTATAGTCCTTGGAGAAAAGCAGTTGGAGGGAAAAAAAAAAGGAATCTGTCAAAATTGGAATTGGCAGGTCAGCCCAGGTGAAGCCTGATCGGTGCTCCTCCACATGCAAATGAACAAGTGAATGAATAAAACATACATAAGCTCTAAATTTAAATCTATTTTAATAAAAAAAATTATATGCAAGCTGTGTGACTGTGGAAGCACTGAGGTGACTGTCAGATTTAAAGTGGGTGCACCTGGAGCCAGATGGGGGGAAATCTTTTATTCCAGCCCCGTCTGACGAACACCTCCGACTTTAATGGCCTCTCCATATACGTCTTAAGTAAACTGGGAGCTGTGGTGTCTGTATCTGACTGGACTTGCTGGTTGCTGAGGGGAGGATGTGATTGCATGTCAACAGGGGAAAAGCAACTGAACGGCCCTTTGAGGCCGCAGGGGGAAGTTGAACGTCTTCCTTTTAAGGACTCTAAAGTTTGCTCAGTGAGTCATCAGCGCTGAAATGACGGTGCACGTTTGCAGCTGGAGACTTCCACCGGCTCCCTCCGGCGAAGGGTCACGTTGTGTTGGAGCCGAAGACGTGGAGCGAGTGTGAAAGTGTGATGTTTTCCCAATGAATCATTCAGGTCTGCAGAGATAATATTTAAACACATACTCACCCCAGCCAGGAGCAGAGTATCCCGTCGGTGCCTTCAAATTGTTGAGACCCATATACAAATCAAATCCAGGATTTTATTTTAGTTTTTTTCTGCTTAAATTCCTGAAGCTGATTCCTAAAAGTGCAGGAGTAGCTGTGATTTCCTGGTTTGCACGTCCTGTTGTAAGCAAACATTATGCTGCCAAAAAAGCGTGTTGGGGATGTGCACATGCATGATTTAAGAGGATTTCCCTCACAGAGGTGTTTCGCTGCTTCTCTTCAGGAAAAGCTGTTGCAATAATTTTGCTTCTTTTCCCCTTTTTTTTTTATTTCCCCCCCAAGACTTGCTTGGAGTTGGAGCGCTACCTACAGAGCGAGCCGTACGTTTCCACGTCCGAGCTGAAGTTCGGCTGCCAGGAGGACCTCTGGAGCAAGCTGATCCTGGCCTGCGGGGACAAGGCCAAGGCCGACCCGAACCTGGCCCTGGCGCCTGCCCACGACGAGGACAATCAGGACGGCCAGATCTTGGACAGCAACAGCGTCAACTCTGACGCCAGCAGCGAGGCTTCGGACAGTTTCGAGGAGCTCTCCCCCACGCACAGCTTTACCTCCAACCCGTTGGGGTCGGCGTTGGTTGGCTCCGGACCTTTTAGCCCCTCCGTCATCAGCACGCCGCCGTCCTCGCCGGAGGCCGCCGTGGGCACGGCCGCCGCCGTCAACGGCTGGGTGGCGACGCACGCCGGGCTGAACCTGCCCGTCAAAATCAGGACCGCCGGCGGCGGTGGTGGTGGTGGCGTGGGAGTAGGAGGGGCAGCAGTGGCGAAGGCCGCGGAAAAGACTGGACTCCTCTGCGGGGACGCGTCCCCGGACGCCCGGAGGCGGGTACACAGGTGTCACTTCAACGGCTGTCGCAAGGTTTACACGAAGAGCTCGCATCTGAAGGCACACCAGCGCACTCACACAGGTGAGTTTCAGTGGAATAGGAGGGGAAGGGGAGGTCATGTGATCTGTGTGTAAACAGAGCAGGAGGGGCTGCTCCATTCAAGGAAAACCACTTTGTCTCTATGCAGTCAATCCATGATTTATTTATTTTTTTTGTGATGACTGATTATTTTTGCTGCACTTTTTAAAAAGATTGCAACCTAAGTTGCAAAGCTTTATTTTTGCACAGTCTATGAATGACACTGCTGCACATTACCTTCCCACAAACGGAAGGTACTATGTAAAGTTCAAATAACATTTTCAAGTACCTTCTTTAAGTAACATCCTTAATACCAATTCATTTGTAGTAAGGATCTGAGGAGGGGTCAAAGTGGAAAAAGAAGAAAGTGATTTTTGGAAAATAAATAAGTAAGCTAGTGTTACCTGTTAGCATCACACACTATCATTGTGCATGTACGGCCTTTGAAAGACATTGAGAAACAGGAAGTTAAGTTAGGAAGTGGGCCGAGGGGATTGGTCAAAATTCAACCAAGTTGCAGTGATTGGTCAGAAGAAAAGTAAATGATGTGGAAAAGTCGCAATGAAATTCGCAAGTCCGCGCAAAAATTTGTGAATGACGAGTGACTGTTGATCAACGGTTGCGATCGCAGCTTCCTGCAGGGTCAGTCTGTGTGGTTGAAAACCAAGGGAAAAGGGGAAAAAAAATCACCACCAGTGACTCGTGGAAGTGCTGCTAATTCAGTCCTCCACCTTAATGGCATTGTCCAGCCATTGTGTAATGTAATTAAAGGCCCACGTTGCACCATGTCCTCAGCTGGAGCGCTGTGAGCATTAGCTCTGCATGGCTGGATACCTAAACTGTGACCTAATCTATGTGGAATGTGACTGACGGAGCCAGTGAGCGAACGAACGAATGGGTGGGAGAGTGAGATAGAGAGAGGAAGGTCGAGGGGGGGGATGAGGGGAGAGTGGCTGCACATGGGAGATGAAAGGACTTCCAAACAGATTGGGTTTCGCCATGGGAAAGAGCTGAGTGGGCGGGGAGCGAAGGGGGCCACTGGGTTCCAAATGGTCATTTAAATATCTTTTATTTTTATTTAGTAGCGTGAAATTGCTTGTGTTGTTTCAGTTTACTCGTTTATTTCTGTCCCCACTCACCCTTCCTCCCTCCCTCCCACGATGTACCAGTCTGCATTCTCGGCGTGCTGCAGGTCGCATCAGAATCCGAACCCGAGCCAACAGGCTCCGTAGGAATTTCAGTCTCCAGCAGATTGTGGGCGCTTTTTTTTTTTTTTTTTTTTTTTGAGTTGCGTCATCGCTCTCTCTCGCGCTCTCGTGGTTGATTTGAGTGCAATTTAAATAGCAACGCTAAGAATGTAAGTGTCCCTTTAACGTCTGCTCCGTGTGTCTGCTCCGCAGGTGAGAAACCGTACAGGTGTTCATGGGAGGGCTGCGAGTGGCGCTTTGCACGGAGTGACGAGCTGACCAGACATTTCAGGAAGCACACAGGGGCCAAGCCATTCAAATGCAATCACTGTGACAGGTAAGCCGCTTGTCCTCGCTCTCGTGATAAGGCTGCTGGACTAGCTCCATTGTCAGATTATTTGACTCAATAACCTGGGAAAATGTCCTAAGTGAAATAGTATTCCAGTGAAGCCAATACTTTTTCATTAACATTAAGGAATTGCAAAACGAGCTCCTATGTCTTGCTGGAAAGTTATTTGTAAGTTAGGTTTGTCTTATTTCAAAAGTACCAATAGATTTACACTAGTAAACAGACAAAAAATGCTTTGTAAGATTTGTTTCAGCAGCGTTCTCACAATAAAAACCACAAACCTAAGTATGTGGTTGCATTTTATGTGGCAGACAAACAAAAGTGAGTTATTGTGAGGTGAAATGGGGGGAAAGAAATATTGTTTTTCCACATAAATGTCTCAAAAGTTTTGCATTTGCATTCATGCCCTCTGCTCTAATTACCTTCAGAAGTCTTCTGCTTCATGAATGTTTCGTGGAGGCCTCAGAGGTTTTCTTTTAGAGAACACTGCTGAGAAAAACTAATGAAGAATCCAGAAGCAGCCAAGAGTTCACACCACTAATGCTGCACTGAGGCAGAACAAGGTGCTCTGGTCAGATCAGAGCACATTTTAAAGTTTTGGCCTACGTGTACAAAACTATGTGTGGTAGAAAAGTAACTCTGCACGTTACACTACCGTGCTGTGGCCTAGTCAAAGTCTAGTTCAGAGACGAATTAGAAAGTGTGTGTGAAGGCTTTGAAATGACTGTGAACTCAGTGAAACGTGGTGGTGGTGGCATCATCCTGTGGGAATGTGAAAGGCTGAATCAGAGCTGACTGACAAAGACTAGTATGTAGATCTAGACTGTATGAAACTGATAAACGGACCCGAAATGTTGCAGTGGGACAAAATGTGAAGCAGGGCTAAAACGATTAATCGTGATTAATCGATTATTGATTAGATAATTTGAAAGAACAACACAGTTGGAGCATTTTAGCACAGGTTTAGCTTCAAATGTTGAAGTTAAAACTTTAGAATTTTGTAGAAGAAAAAACACCACGGCTTTTTGCTATCCAAGTTTTTAATTGGTTAATCTGAAAATGAATCAACAGATCAGCCTTGCATTACATTGATGTCAAGTCCAGCAGAAAGGGCCGAGCTTTTCATGTTTTTATTTTGTTTTGGGGACTTTTTTGGCTGCAGAAACATCCTTTGCTACAAATGATCATGTGTACACTAAAAGAATGCTATGTTAATAGTAAAAAAAAAAAAGTTTAGTCCTTATTTAAAAACAGAATTGAATCATATATTTGCATCTTTTAATGTGATTTAAATTAAAAATTGACAGTGCAATTTCTTTTCATCTGATTCATCGTCAGCATAATCGATTAATCATCCATTGCAGCCCTATTCTTGACCTTTTTAAATCGTTTCCTTGGTTACCGACTGACCTCCTTTCCTTTCTCTCTGTCCTCAGATGTTTCTCCAGGTCCGACCACCTGGCCCTTCACATGAAGAGGCACGTCTAACGCAGGGCCAGCGTCATCCGGGCAACGCACCGAAGGGGAAATCCTCTTAAATTTTCTCTCTCAAACTTTTTTTTTTCTTTTTCTTTTTTTTTTTTTTTTTTCTTGGTGGAGAGAGAGAAAAAAATAAAATCCAAACACACGCCATCTCCCGACTGGCCTCTTGGTTGAACTGTCCCAGAGAGCAGAGCGGCGAGGGCGACGGGGGCGGGAGGAGGAGGCGTGTCCCAGCCAAAGCATGCCGTTTTGCACCGTACCGAAATAACCCAGTGCCTCCGGGACCTCACTTTGTTTATTCTTTTTTTGTTTTTTCGAGACGGGCGCTCTGATGGTTTTCTGTTGCAACAAGATGACAAAATCGCGGACGCGAGTGGGAAGGAAATGTTTTCCATCGAGGACTTTAAAAAAAGACGGTGGGGGCGGGGAGAAAAAAAAAACTAACAAAAAATGCTTAGAAAAAAAAAAAAAAAGGCGAGTGAATGAATCGTATGTATGGTGCATGATGTTTGGGGGGGGAACGTCTCCCCGGACAGCAGATACACTGGTACTTTACAAACCTGTCTGAGGTTAGCATGTCTGCACTGTGAATGTCTGAGATTGGCTGACCGGCCCAGGATGAGGATTAAAGAGGAGACGGATTGGTGCGGGGCTGGTACCAATGTTGCTGTGGACTGAATGAGATTTTGTGGCGGAGGCAGGCTGGGGGTGCGGGGGGCAAGGGGGAGACATTCCTGCTGTTTCCCCAGGTGGCAGCGTAAGGATGAGGCCAGGTTACGCCTGCCTCGGCTGTCTGACTCCCAGATGAGGGGATGAGGGGGGGGTTCGGATCAGCTTTGGATCCGACCGGAAAATAGGCATGAAGCCTTCTGCTCTGTGCCTCCACCCCCTCTTCCGTGAATGACAGAAACCTTGTTTTGATGGTTTTTCTTTTTACTTTTTTTTTTTTTTTTTTTTTTTTTTTTTTGGTGCAGCTACTAAATGTGCAATGTGTTATGTAGCCTGGTTTCTTAATTTTTCTACAAGCTACAAAACCCATTTGTAGTACCGACTGTATGAGCTGTGTGCTTAGAGGTAATAACACAACTATACTATTAACTTCAGTATCATAGACAGGTGTTGCATGGTTCTAGGGATTGTTTCCATTTCCAGTTTCCCACTGTAATCAGGACTGCAAATAGTTTCAAGAAAAGTGCAGCTAAAACGCAAACGGTTAGATGTTACAATATTGTACATAAAGGCCTCGACAATTCCTCCTTTTGGTTTTTTTTTTGTTTGTTTATTTTTAGTGGAGATGCACCGATCTGGCTTGACTGGCCCTTGCTGATATTTTTATATTTTTTATCAAACACAAATGAAGGAATAACTTGTCCCCCTTTGTGCATCTAGGTACATGTCTTCAACATTTACCAGATTCCTATAAATTAGCTTTTTTAATCATTGTTAAACAAAAAAGGGATCAAGTACCTCCTGTTAGCTGAAAAATTTGGGGACTTTTCATTTTTGATGCACTTAACGCAAGAAAAAAAAATATTTTTTTTCTCAGTATGTTACCATCCAGATCAGGGGGGAAAAAAATCGGCCAATTCCAACATCTGGCTGGTTGATCGGTTCATCTCTACTTTCACCCTTTTTTTAAAGTTTCCTCTTCATTGTGGTTTTCCATCTGCCTGGAGATTTCACTGCTGCTCATATCCATCTGATGCCTCAGAGACTCATTTCTGCATAGTATTTCTTCTTTTGTTTATGAATGTGTGTGTGCGTACACTCTCTTTCTTTCTATCTAATAATGCACTGTTGACCTTAATGGTGCCTTATGCAAGTGGCCCCCCATCCGGGGATGTCGCGTTTGTCGACTAGGTGATTTATTATTTAAAATATTTGTAATTTTTGTTTTTCAAGCTCTATCAAGGCTCAAATTACAAAACGGTTGCAATAGTTACATTTTCTCCATGACTAATTGAGCTGTTGCATTTGTAAGTCTTTCACACAGAGTACCTGTTATCAGTTTGTGTTAGTGTTTTTTTGTTTTTATTATGAGACGGAGCAGCAGATTAGCTGTTGCTTATCACATTTAAGTTATGTTGTAAATAAGACGATGCCGTACCCTGGGAGCACTTAAATTCATTTATTAAAGGCGTTGACTACTGTGTAGTATGAACTCGAGTCCATCTCGCACAGCACAAAGGTACAAAGTGATTAAGATGTCGAAATGGGAAAAAAATAAATAAATGAAAAAACAACAGCTCTGTTTCGAACGTGTCCCTGAGATTCCGACCGTATGACGGCATCAGACACTCGCAACAAAAATGCGACTTTCTTTTCCGCAGAAAGTGACGAAGCAATCGTCAGTGCTCGGCAACAGCTGGGGGAGGGTTGTCGTTTCCCCAGAAAAGGCTTTCTGAAACTTTAGCTTTAGCGTAGCTTGAACTCGGTTACCCCTCCACTCCTCTGTCAGTTCTTCCATCGCATCCAAGTGGGACTGAAGGAGGGGGGAAAAAAAATAAAAAAGCTAAAGATTTATTGTAATTAACAGGCTGCAGTCGGACAGGCCTCGCCTTGTACTGCCTCTCGGTAATGAATTGCTAAAGGCTTTGTTGGCATGGAATCTGTCACAGACTGCTGACTGTGTATGTTGGTTATTGACCTGTCTGGAGCGCGTTGTTTCAGCCAAAGCTGCAACAGTAATACAGGGGAAATGAAGGGGGGGGTGCATGAGGAAATTAGGCAAAAAGAAAAAACATTAACGATTGACACTGGGGCGAAAAGATGAAAGAAAAAAGAAATGGAGGTGATTTGACTTCAGTTGATCAGGGTGAGGCGATCTGTCCCAGGGTCGGCGACCTCCGATGTCGCAGCGACCGCGGCACGTATGGATTTCGGATCGGTCGCAGGAGACGGGGGATGAGTTCAAGCTTGAAACTGCTTGCTGCGGTAGATTTTGGGGGGGGAAAGTTGCTGCAAAGAGCCGCAGCATCTGACAGCGGTGAGCCGATATCCTTCCAGCGATAATTGAGCCTTGATTTAGCCTCGTTTATTATTTTTTATTTTGCTTGCATTTATTTCCACATCATCATCATCATCATCATCATCATCATATCTCTTTCATCCCACTCACCCAGCTGTTCTGTCTCATACTGAAAACACACTATCTTGCTCTCTCTCTCTATCACACACAGGCATACACACACACACACACACACACACAGCTCTTTTGTTCTCAACTGAATCTTTGTATAAGAGAAAAAAAAAGACTTTTGTAAAATTGTTATGTTTATGCTTTATGAAATTTTTATTTGAAATTGTTTTGCAAAATTGTTATATTTCTGTATGAATGTATTTTTTATTGGAATAATAAGAAATTCTTATCTGACTTTTTTTGGCTGGCTTCCTTTGTCTCATCAGCTGATTCGGCTCACTTGGGTTTTTATTACTGTGAGTGCTTGTTTTGCACGGTTGGAGGGGGGAAATGGCTGCCTTGCATGCTGCTCTGCAGTACTCAGACTAAATTAGACGCGAGGATATATAGTGCCTAGCAAAACAAAAAAAAAGTAAATGTTTAATATCCTTTTCAAACTTTTGCATATTTTCAAATCGGTGTGTTTTATCAGAATTTTATGCAAGAGACTGGCACCAAGTTCATACTTCAATCTGAATGAAACCGATGAACTGGGTTCATATCATAAATAATCTGAAAAGTGTGGCGTGCTTTTGTGTTCAGTCCACCAGTTCCTTCTGTGCACATCCAGAGTCTGATACTTTCTCCCATTGTCTTCAGCATAGCAGCTACATGTAAATCAAATCTGAAAGTTTTTAAAGCCTTCACACAGTTTCTCACTTGGTCCAGTCAAACATTTAGACGCTGCTGTAGTTTTGGGCTTGTTTTGCAGCCTCTGACAGGTTTTCATCTTCCCTGTGCCTGTTTAATGGAAGCATCTTTACCACTGTGGTGAGTTCAGGGTGCTGTGCCGTGCATATTTTCCAGCCCACATCGCCTGTTTTGTATCATTTTTAGGTCGCCTCTAAAAAGAACTCCTCTTTCAACTTGTGTGCTGTGTCTCTCTGTGGCTTGTTGCAAACCAAACATGGACTGTTTTGTGTCTTTCTTCCCTAAATTTTCATGAAAGCCAGAATTGTAGATTGCGGGACGTCCCGTCCCAAATGAAGTGTGGATCTGTACAGCTACTTTCGAGTTTACATGGACGCCCTTTTCCTGGTGCATCTGCAGTTTAAACAGCCCTCTGCGAGATGTTCAAAGCTTAGGATGTTGTTTCAAAACCTGCTTCAAACTTTTCCACAAATTCATAGCGGACTTTCCTTTTGATCATTTTGGAAGGAGACGAAATCTGATCACATTTATTTTTGTGAGATTCCATCTAAAGTTGTTTGACTTAAAAGTAAATCTGTGTCCATTGAACCTTAGGGAAAAAAATCCAGCTAATGTTTTCCCTAAAGACGCCACATGTTTTAGCCACTACAGTAAAACTGAGTGGACTAAAACCTAAAGGAGTATAGATCTGACTAAACATTGATTAAAAAGTGTTAACATGGATGCTTGACTCACATTTTAGATATATATGTGTTAAAAAAAAAAGAAAGCAAAATCAAATTTCTTCCATTTCACTAGTTTGTTGGACTACAACTTAAAATTATCTACAAAATACATTTAATTTGTGTTTATAAATGTGACAAAATGTGAAACGGTTCGGGGGCTGCTAGTAATTTAGCAAGCAAGTGGAAAATCATTTTATTTCCTTTGATTGAACTTTTCTTAAATTAAAAAAACATCCCACAAGAAAAAAAAAAACAAAAACAAAAACTTTTCTCAATGCAATATTCTGCCGGAGTGGTTTTACCATTTAAAAAAAAATAAAAAATTAAAACGAAAAGAAAAAAGTCTGACTGCTCATTTCTTCAAGTAATCTAGAGCTAATCAAAGCAGCATAAATAATTTATCTCCATCTCTCAGCGCCCGTGGTATTTTAATTCGAGAGCCGCCTTTATACATTTGTTAGCTAATTACTCTACTTGATATGGATAATAACATAAAAACAGCAGTTGATAAACCAAAGGGGCTACTTTAAGACACAAACTAACATCAGTACAAGGTGGAGGAAAGAAAAAACAAAAACCTCTCTCCTGCTTGCCGTCGACCTCGAATGGGCAGGCGGCGTATTAGCAGCCCCTGATTTCCAGTAAAAGCCCTGTGGTTTTCTAAACGAAGCTTTTCCCTCCAGTTGGTAATTAAGCCTCCCAGCTTGAGTGTTCAAGAGTTGTTGTTTTTGCCCAGAACACCGCAGCTCCTTGATGTTCTCAAACGGCTGCCTCGCTTAATTTGTCAATATCACGTCTAATGCATGAGCTGAAGAGAAGCCGCTCGTAAAAAGAAATGGAAAAAAAAAAAAAAAGAAAAACATGTTTGGGTTCAAACTCTTTATCCAGAGCTGGATATCTGTTGATGAATGTAATTGACTTTTTGTCCTTTATCAGGGCCGGTCCAAGGCTGCATGGGGGCTTGAGCAAAAATTGATTTTTGGGGCCGACTTCCTGTTTTGTCTTCCTCCCACCAACCGCAACAACAAAGATATCCGTAGAGTCAAGAAGGAGCCGCAGAACTGAATAAGTAGTTATGAAAATCTATAAATTATGCTACAAAAAAATTATGCCATATTTGCTAATTAATGCGACTCTAACAATGTCGACACACTGAAAGTATCAAACTATAAAAATGTATCAATGCGTTTAGCATTAATATTAAAATTATAAAAAAAAGTTATACAAATTTAAGTGAATATATTTGCATTATGAAATTAAATCCAAAACCAAAAGCTCATTTTCAATAAACAAAGGTGATTCAAAATTCAAAGCCCTTTAGTTTTTCAGAAGGAGCTACAAAGATGTGAACTTAAATGTTATAATAAATCACTTTCACCACTTTATGGAATGGTGATGTTACAGTTTGTACCATATTCTGATCATTCATGACATCACGACTCCGCCTCATCATATTCTCATCTCCTACCTTCTGCCCAACCCTAAATCCATCCCTTTTTTCCCCAAACACTAATTCAAAGCCTCCTTAGCTTTGTAAACATTGTTCTGCAAGGACCTCTAACAGTCTTTGGCTGGGATTTTTGCACTTTCTAAAAGTTTTCCTTCCTCTTCCACATTTTCTTTTTTGTCTGTGTTTTCCAAGCTTTTGTTTCATTCTGCTTCTTCTGCCTGTTTCTTGCATTTCTTTCTGACTTCGGAGGCTTCTGCAATTTTGTTTGCCTGATGTTTGCAAGGCTCCCCACTGAGCCTCGGTCGCCCCAAAAAGCGTCAGTCTTTTCGGGGTTCCACTTCGACGTTTTTGAGGCCGATACCTCAAGCCGCCTCTGCTCACCAGACAACAGCCTCCTCTCTGAAGTGGCCCGTCTTGGATAAAGTTTCTCATAAATCTGGCGCTAAGATTGCATTCCTCCTTTGATGTAGCCAGTACTCCCATTCAGCGTCAGCGTTCCCACATTGATATTGTAACACAGACTCAACCCCAAAGGATGACTGGGAACAATCCATCATTTTTAGATGTCACTCGTCTCATCTTAAGACGAGGGGGGCTATGGGGCATGACAATGCGAGGGGCTTGGAAATGCACTTTTGTCACGAGACGACCTAAAGCGCGCGAGAGCGTCAGCCGAAAGTAATTGCTGTTTGTAATTTTTTTAGCGTTCACTCCGCAACGTCGGTTTTACAACTAAGAGTCATTATTTTTCCGAGCCCAAATTGCATGTTTAAAAACCCCAAAGCCTTAGCCACAGGGGGACGCGTCTCTGCAGAGAAACAGCCCGAACTTGATACTTGAAAGAACTGTGCAAAATTCATTAGGGTGGGCTGAGCCATATGTTTCAAAAGCTACATCCTCCCCAGGGTTATTAAGCATTTCTCCAACCCCTACTCTCAGCTTGGTGAGACGCTCCCCTTCAAACAAGATACTTGGTTATATTTGTTCCCTAATTTAATCTTTAAAATCTAAATTTAACTTTTGGTAAACAACTAGTCAGGGGTTTGAAATATTTGTGAAACAAACAAAGGTAAATTGAAGTTGTATATTTAGGATGAACACTAGTTTTGTGTCTGGATGTTCTACAAAAAAAAGTGATATAAAGATGCTTTTAAAAAAAAATCTCCCATTTATCTCAATAATAGAAAATATAACCACTGAAATCTAAATTTTCCCCGCCTAATTTGTGAATAAAAACTTTAACAATGGCTCGTCTCTTTCACATTCTTGGTCAAAACCAGAATGAATCCAGAAAGTTTTGGGCTTTAATCCTTAGTAGGGAAAACTCAATTCTCGGAGTGGGAGCTGATTTAGTGTTTCCCCGTTTTGGTCTTGGTGAGGGCTGTTCAGC